CCTTATTGACTTCCATAGAGTCCTCTGTTCTCCTACTCTTTCTAATACCTCTTCATTTCTAACCTTCTCTATCCACGGTATCCTCATCAATCGCCTGTAACATCACATTGCTATCTCCCTCTCAACTTATCCCAACCTAGGTTAATCTTCAAACCTAAAAAAGGCAATTTTAGCGTGTTGGAGAGCAACATTACCACTACCTCTCACCATCTATCCACATTTATTCATCCATCCTCCCAACATTTGCATCAGAGTTTAATTCTTCTTCTAGCAAATTCTACCTCTTTCTTCCAGAATTTACATTGTGTAATTTCATTAGCCACTCGAAACATCACTAATATTCCTTTTTTATCCCCCACATACTGCGGAATCATAAGTCCTTGCCACGAACGCCACATCAATAACTGTAGCTTTCTTGAGTCTTCTATTTTTCTTAATTCTTCACCTCTACCCCTTTGTATCTTACTCTGACCATTTCCCCGACTTTCCTGCCCGTTCCTGTCCATTCACCTCTTTGCTCTTGCTCTGTTTTTACCTGCCTACCTTTGGCACCATTCTCCTCTATTTTTCTTCCTTAAATTTCCTTTTTCTAACCCCTTCCAGATTTGCCTCATAATTTATCACCCCTTATATAAACTCTATTATCATTTTCCCACATTTTGTTCCTCCTCTTACAATATAGCCAGAACTTTATAAACCTCAAAAGTCAAACAATACTAAATTGGTTCATCAGGTTTTAAAATTAGGGTACTTCGAAATTTCAAAGTGCAAAGAAAATTCGTTATACTATGCGTAGATGTAAAGCAATAAATACTTTAGAAAACCTGTTGACAATCTCCTTCAATAAAGTCGTAGTTACGTCTGTGGTTTTCATATTGGTTGCAATTAGTGCATAAAATTTCTTGTTCCAGGATAACGAGAATGATGGCTTCCTATCGTCGGTGCGAGGTAGATTAAGCAGGGTTGTACAGTCATTAAGGGCGGCAGTTAGGTTTAGAAGATACTCAAAATCGTCAAATCGTCCTCCAGACTGGTTCGTCGACAAAAGTCAACAAGAAGAAGACATAGACAAAGAAGCGCCGCCAGCGGCGACCTGCTGTGGTAAACCCATAGTCGTCGATGCCTCCCTGCATTCTCATTATAAGGCAAGTAACTTACCGTGTTATCATAATTATCTCAAGCCAACCAGCAAAGTTTAAATCGATGTCTCGGAATAATTCCTTGATAGGAATGTACTGCGAAAGAGCACATATTTTCTGTTTTTCCATTGTTTCAATAGTTATGAATGTTCTTGAAAATTTATCCGATTTAATAAAAAACGTGTTCAGAAAATCGATGGAACGTTATGAAGCGATCAGCGAACCGCTAAACCTATTCATACCGTCCTCATCTTTATGCAGATCCGCTGTTATGAATATTAATGGCAAACAAACATTTTAACACGGAAAGTTTTTTAGGTATTTCCTCTTATGAATCAAACTCGTATAAGTAGGGCTACACTGAAGCATTCGAAAGCTAATCGTAGTCCCTAAATTCATTTATGTGGAAAGTTATAGGTATTTTTGTTTTTAAACCAAAAGGGTCAGCGAAATAAAATATTTGTATGTATGTTTGAAATCGCGATTCACATGTTGTGGTTTCGATTAATTGTTGAACAAGAATTTAATGTTCTTTAAACGTATTGTGTATTGAAACCTGGTTATTAATAATAATAAAGCCACAAAATGGGTACCTATTTGAAACGTGTTGGCTGTCGCATAAAATGTGAAACAGCTCATTAGTTTTTAGCTGACTAGAGAGAAAGGCAGATAAGGCGGGTGAAATAAAGATAGAAAAGAAGTGAAAGATTGTTTAGAGAATCAGTGGTGGCTCGGGAAGGTTCATAATTACCAGATGTAACAAAGAAATACCTTTTCTATTACTAAAATTTGTTCATTATGCGATTATGCCTCATACGTTAACCACTAAAACAGCGACGGTATAATGTCCTTATCATCGACGTATACTAATGGACGTGGTTTAGCGGTCAGAATTGTGGTACGACTAAAGAAAGAGATGGAACGAAGTTTCGGACCATATCTCTCTCACGATAGTGCGATTGTTAGGACGTCCTGCGCCCGTACTTCAGAGAAGCCAATAGCGTGTAATGAAATAGACAGCACTAGTCCGAAACTATACGTCATCTCCCTCACTCTTTTCGAGCCAAGAAATTATTACAACGACATACGACTAAGGCACGTCCATTTGTATATGCCAGTGGTCCCTATGGCGCTGCAGGTTATGAGCAAACTACAGCACTTGCTCAACTGTTAGTAAAACCTCAAAACATTTGGGTGTTTCATTGTCACCAGCTACTAACGCCCTCTGCAATCTCCTTTTAGAAATGGTGAGAATGGCTGGGTGGTGAGACTTACAAATAAAACCTCAGAACATTTGGGTGTTTCATTGTCACCAGCTACTAACGCCCTCTTCAATCTCCCTTTAGAAATCGTGAGAATGACTGGGTGGTGAGACTTACAAAATGAAAACAAAAGGGAGTGAAATGTGGAATATTGTTGCCCTCGAATTTGCCTGAGTGATCCAAGGAAACCACAGGAAAAATTTCGACCAATGTATACGGTCTCCTCCCTACTGCTAAGCAGAGAATAAATATTTTTTTTTGCTTCTTTAAAGCACCAAAATCAACGTCAAATTATATTATGTCTGCATCTGCTTCAAATTAGCTCCGCTAACTAAAGGGGTTTAATGTAAAAATGTACAGTCGCCTGTCGAATTGATTAAATTTATCAATCGGTTACTGATAAATGCGAAATCGGATACAGGACAGGGCTGTTTACAAGAGAGAGAAATGTGTCGTTGGGAACGTTTGCCTTCGTTATATAATCCTACACCGGTTATTCAGTTAATAGCATCAGCTCTGCAATGAGATAGATCAGTTATTTTGATTGATTGATCGAAAACGATACCCACACTGTCATTTCGACCGCCGCTGATTGATGATTGAATTCTAAAAGTGAATCAGGTTATCGTAAAATTCACGTAAATGTACAGTGGCGTAACCACGGAGGGTTTAAGGAGATCAAATCCCCTCATCGACTAAAAAACTTTCTTCTTTAATTATGTTGTAGTCAGAAGAGTGCATGAAATAAGTGTTGTCAGGTACAGACAGCGCATTAGTACCAAGAAGTTATTTTTTGCAAAGTTGATTGTCTCACATCTATTTAATATTTTGTATTAAGTCATTGACAAAGTACATCGCAAATGGTACAATAATTTATTTACATTTAACTTATCATCATTATCATCATAGGGTCGTCAGTCTTAAGACTGGTGGGACATTCAACCTTCACTCTTTCCTAATCTAAGCTAATCTTCGCATTTCCCTCCCCTTTTTTTTTGGGTGTTTTATTCCCACCAGCCACTAATGTTGGTGGGCAGGTAGTCTATCCGGACCGCGCGTCGGAAGGTAGGGCGGAATGCCCTTTTCAGCCTCCTTGTGGGAATGGGTGGGCGGTGGTTCAGGTGAGAAAGATGAAACGGACGAACTGAAGACAGAAGAGAATGAAAGATTATCTGTGGAGTATTACTGCCCCAGAATTTGCCTCAGTGATCCAAGGAAACCACAGACAAACTTGGGCCAAGACACACATACCTGGAATCGAAGCGGCGTCCTCCCGAATTTTAAGCAATGGTCTAAACCTGTAGGCCATGCCTCTCAGTGCATTTCCCTAAGACTAGAACATCTTAAATTCTTAACTATTTGTGAAGACTAATTTAATCGAGGTACATTTCTTCTCATCTCAATTCCTGTTTGCTTCTATGTTTCCAACTAGTCCTTTATATCTGAGAAGGTATGTTATCAACCTATCTCGCCCATCTCTGCCTATCTCGTATTGATTTCCATAATTTCCATGACGCCCTCTGTTCTCCTACACTTTCTAATATCTCTTCATTTCTAACCTTCTCTATCCACGGTATTCTTATCATTCGCCTGTAACACCACATTTCTAACATTTTCTTCTCTATCCACGTTTCGCGCCCATATAAGTAGCTTCTTTTTGCTAAAGGCGATTCGACCCTGCGTTATCCTTTGTTTCATATCTCTACTGCTCCTTCCGTCCTAAACTAAAGACACCTTAACCTTTTCTTTTCCGCCGCTTACACCGTCCATGTCTCCAAGTAAATAAGTAAACACAAATCATACGGTTTATGTTATTAAATTTAAATCCCAACCTCCCTAGCACAAATACTATATTACCTACTGTAAATGTTCCTCGTTTAGTTTAAGATAAAAACGACCCCATTTGCTTATGATTTCAAAAGATAATTATAAATTCATATAATATATATAATACTAGAAAAAATAATCATAATCACTAAAATAAAAATTGTGTTTATTCGTTTACTTTTTTTTATTGGTGAAATTGAGTAATTGGTTATTACCAACTAACTGCAGATGTAATCCCGGTTGAACACATAAAAAGCAGAAGTAGTCGGCGTTAAAATTAAATGAACTTGTGCATGAAAGAGCCTAAACCAGAGAATAATAAATTGAACAAAACGACGTTCACGCTGAAAAGATTGAAAGCCTTTCAGGCCTAACGTGTACCAGAAGGCTTATATAATTGTACTTCCCGATTCAGCTGACTTAACGACCTTCCCATAATTTACAACCTTTAGATTCCCATCGGCGAACACAATGCACCCCGTTCTATTGTTAGGACAAAGTGAGACAAACAGAAAAAAAACATGAATTATTAACAAAAAATGAATTGGGTCAAATGCTACAATGTGTTACGTAAGTGCCAAAAGTAGGGACTTCTCCAGGGATAATAAACTGTCAATGATATTCAATGGGTACGCAATGTTCTTCTGATAGTAACAACCCAACTTCATCGGTAGGTTAAAGAATGTATAAAAAATTATCCGAAACTGGACAATGTTGCAGAACTTAAATTTGTATTTATATTGTTGTAATATTGTTTTCAATTTTGTTACAGTGGTTGATGGTAGTCTCATTGGCTGTACTATACAACGTGATCTTTGTAATTGGAAGAGCAGTATTCTGGGAACTGAATAACGCGGTACCATTGCTATGGTGGATTCTGGACTACATCTGTGATTCAATTTATTTTTTAGATATACTCATTCGAGCTCACGAAGGTAAGCCTTCATGATATTAGTTTATTTACAAATGGTAACTATTTTCTAATCACATATGATTTCCGATTTAATTTGAGAGCCCACATCAGAATTAGATCAACATGTTAGTATTTTAATATATGCTAACACCAAAACCCAAACATCAATTTTTGAGAATGTCATTACATAGGTCAAAGCGGTAGATCATTTGAAACCAGCTTTAAAGAACACCAGCGTTTTGCTAATTTTTATAAACACCGCTTCCCATACCTCGGAAAACTTGAAGTTATACATATTGGAGGGTTTTAAATTAAAGGTGTTAAAGTCAATCTAAATTAGTAAGTCAACTAAAAATCCAAACTACATCCTTTCAAACGAACGAACAGGTTTATATCAGGCATCTCTATGCAAAATGTTGTATTGTGAGGTTAGGGACAAATTGGAAATAGGAAAGTTCTTAATTGTTTTTTAATATTCAAAATAATCAAATGGATGGAATCTATAGGATGACCTATGTTAGATTCTGGATTCGCAGTTTGCGAAAATTCAATTTAATTGGTTACGTGCTTAATCAATCTTCAGGGTGAAATTGCGGTTGGAAAAGAGTAATAGAAATCTATAACATGACGAAGCGATGCGACCTCTGGCGCACTTCAATAAAACAACCGCAAATAGCGAAATGTTTGTTTCTGAATAACCTTAATAAATTGTCCGGCACGTCAGACACAATAACCAAGGTAAACACCACTTCAACTGGATTGAGAATGTACTAGCGTTAATTGGTTCGGTGGAATGTTGACTTAACCCTCTCTCGTGACCTTGCTGCGGTGTATTTATAAGAAGAAACAAATAATAGCGCGTTTACCCTTATAACTTAAACCAACTAACGCCCTTAAAGCAAATAAAAAATATGCCCCAAATAAAAACACTAAAAAACCGTTTAAGGCGGATGTTAACCTACATAAGTAGGCCTAGTTCTCTGCCTCAATAGTCAATAGAAAAAAATAGAATTCTTATTCTAACACAAAATCCTAAAACGCGGGCTGAAGCAGACCAACAACTTAAAAACTTCACCAAATGATAAATTACATCTATTTTTTTATGGTCACCCGTGTAATAAACCCACTAGCCACCAGGTGTAAAAACAGAATATTTACTGACTTGAAATGATTTAGTTATTTTTATACTTCATTTACTTTCTCCAATAATATTCCCCTTCCAATGTCTTGGATGCGCTCGGATGGCGTAGGTAGGGAGAAAAAAACTCATTATACTCTCGACTCTTGTTCATTAAACATACTTTTTCAAACAGTACCTGCCAAAAGTTTTGTTCAATCATGAATAGTAGTGCGAGTCGAAAACAAGCGTTAAAGCCTTTAATATGTCTTCAAATATAAATAAACATCTCGATGATATTTTCAGTAGTAAATGGTACCAATAACAGCACATTTGAGCAATGCAATTGTAGTGGATAAAATGGTCAATTTTTCCGTGCAGTACTGTACGGATGATACGCTCCTCACCGGTTAAGAGTTTTTAACCGAGAGTTGTCTCCTTTCTTTTCTGGCCTAGTGCTGTTCTTTTCTATTTTGCGCCGCTCAAACTGAAGGTCACATCGCTACACGAAACTAAACACAGTATAGCTTGTTAAGAAGAAAAACCATCAACTATTACTTATCGAGTAAAGCAAAACCCTTCCAAAATTGAATCTCAGAAAATAAAAAGAAATAGGATTTATTATCGTTCTCCCGTCTGAAGTATGCGCCTACATACAGTCGAAAAGATAAATGGGGATAAGTCTTCTTTGTAGGCGAGAAAATGAAATCTGGTGGTTTTGACATATTTTACTTATTAGATGTTGTGACGACGTATTATTTTGTTGTAAATTACGACTTGGTAACGTTTAGGCTACGCCGATCTTGTGACAAAAAACTATTGTAAACTGAACAATGCCCCAGAAAATTGGGTCTGACGGGTGAGAGCGTGTAAGAACAACTCAATTTTCACCAACAAGAGCGCGAAATTAATTTAACGCATCTTCATCACATTAGCCGCGTACGTTATGTAGGCAGATACTATACTTTGCTCTAAATCCGAACAATACCCGAAAGTAGGTAATTTTGATCTACGAAAATGTTAAGAGTAACTTTGCGGTAACATACTCAGATATCAGAGAAGGTTATTGAAAACGAGGGGTAGATACTGTGGGTGAAAGCAGCCTATCTCATCGACATAGTGCTCAATAATTTGAATCCCGAAAGATAGACACGTGAATTGGAACAAGAAGGGTGACGGTCAGGGGTGAAATAGACAAACAAACTCTGGTGGTGTTAAGGAACACTCGACAAGAACAAAGTTTGTTACGTTTTTCGACAAATATACTATACGAAATATGGTGTTACAGGCGAATGATGAGGATACCGTGGATAGAGATGGTTAGAAATGAAGAGGTATTAGAAAGAATAGGAGAACAGAGGACTCTATGGAAGTCTATAAGAAATAGGCGGGATAGGCTGATAGGACACCTTCTCAAGCATAAAGGTCTAATCAGAGATATATTAGAGGCAGAAACGGGAGTTAGGAAGGGTAGAGGTAGGCCTAAATTAGGTTACTGTTCGCAAATAGTTAAGGATGTGGGTTGTTCTAATTTTAAGGAAATGCGAAGATTAGCTTAGGATAGGGAGGAGTAGAGGTGCGTGTCCAACTAGTCTTAGGACTGATGATCTTACGACGTTGAGGATAATAGAGGGCGCCATGGAAGTCAACAAAAAGTAGGCGGGATAGGTTTGTAGGATACCTTCTCAGGTATGAAGGTCTAGTCAGAGGCATATTAGAGGCAGAAACAAGAGTTAAAATAGTAGATGTAGACGTAGATTACATTGCTGTTCGCAAATAGTTCTACCTTTCGGGAATTCAATTAAGTATTGCATATCGGTATATTTTAAATATAGTACAGTTAGTACACCTGTACTACAATAGTAATATTTTACTTTTAATTTGTTTCCACTGGTCAGTAGCACCGATGAATAATGATCCAATGCGTTGTGCCAATTGCGAGGAAATAAAAAAATGATGAATATACGAAATAAACTATAAACTTGTCATTTGTTATGAGTTTTTGATGTAGTTGTGTTGGTCTGCCATATTTGCAAACGCATGCGAAGCTTTGGTAAGGCTAGACGAAAAACATACTGTAATGTTCGTAGGCTTAAGAAAATTTACTTCCTAGACTGATTACAACAAAAACAATTTATTTACACTAATTATTGATATATCACTATTCACTGCGCTATTTATTTCACTGCTATCACTGTCAATTTATTTCTCGACTCATTTCTGCAACGGTAAATTTATTTTCTGGAACCCTCTAGAAACATCCGGATCGTTTTGTTTTTCTTTAAACTGTTTAACTGCTTTCCCAGAACGCAGGTACGAGACACACATTTACAAATACGGCGCACATGAAGAAAGGCGCCNAGATATCAAAGAAGGTTATTGAAAACAAGGGGTAGATACTGTGGGTGAAAGCAGCCTATCTCATCGACATAGTGCTCAATAATTTGAATCCCGAAAGACAGACACGTGAATTGGAACAAGAAGGGTGACGGTCAGGGGTGAAATAGACAAACAAGTTTTGATGGTGTTGTGGAACAAACACTCCGCAGGAACGAAGTTTTTTATGTTTTTTCCCCATCAAACCCCAAAAACAGTATTATCTTTGCTTTTTATCCAACCTTGATTGTCTTCTCTCCATTTCTTTACTTCTCTTTTACCTTTCTACCATCTTCTATGGTCTTCTGTCTTCCATGGTCATGTCGTTCCTTACGCATATCTCTGTCCCCTTAAGCCTTCTATCATTTCTCATTATCTGTATCTTATCTTCCCATCTTTGCTCCATATATTTTCTTCTGAAGCTTCCATACCTCCACCTTCAATCTCGTCTTCTCATTTGTTACCCTTTCCAAATCCTTCTTTTCCTTGTTTCTTCCTAACTCTAAAATTATTATCTCTCGTTTCTTTTTTTCTTTTCTAATTTTTTCTTCTAATTCCATTTCCATTCTCCTTATTCTTTCCTTCTGATCTTCTGCATGCTTCTCTACCCGCTTTTCTATTTCCAAAAAATTTATCTGAGTACGCTGATTTTTGCTGGTTGCTCTTTGTCGCCGTAATGTACAATATGGAAAGAAAGGACACTACTTTATTTTCCCTTCGAAAGCATAGAACTAGTGATAGGCAAAATTGTTCTTAGTCATGCAGTGTTGGTATTGGTCTTGCATTTTTATAATGGCAAGACCAAGATCGAACGACCACGACAGAAACGGCAAGACTAAACGAAGGTTTTGCACTTCCGATGGATTTTTGTCGGCTCTATGTATAAATTCTTTGGCATCAATAAAAAATATTGTAGTTCTCAAGGTATTACCGGAATGAAAACAAATAAATATGATATAATAA